TCTCTGTTTCCATTTTGTTTAATATAATAATAACAACAACGATTTCTCCTTTGGTCTTTATCATAATTATACTATTCATAAATATTTATTTCATTTTTTCTAATTAGAAGTGTTCTGAAAATATCATCATAGTAAGCATTATTTAGCAATCCAATATCACTTACATTTTTTGATCTCCAATTATGAAGCCATCGCCTACGTCGCATCATGTGAATGGCAATTATGGGCAATTAAACAGATGATTATCGAAGGTTTCTGAAGCTATCGTTAGTTTGAATTCCACGATAATTATCCCTGTCATCTGGTTTCAGATCACAATTTCTAATTTAATTATTGAAATTATATTTTAAAAAAATATGTGTGCGTTATCTTTTCATTATTTGTATCGTAATAATTTACTACACTCGGTAAATTTTCTCAGCAAGTAAGAGAAATTTAACGAGCGGTCACGCGAGAAACGGAAGCGCGAGTGGAAGTTTATCTATGGGCATCCTAATCGTATAGCAGATGATCGTGTTCCTATAGGACGATGGGAAGTCAGTTCTGTCGGTCAGTTTTTTCTTACAAATGGTTCCGCATTTAAGTTATTAAGGATACTGTTTTTACCATTTATTTCATTTATTGGTTATTATGAACTTGATTTGCTGACATTGTTCCCAATTCATAATTAAACGGTTTACATTTGTATTCTTTTCTAATTATTCAAAGTCTTTAAGATTTTATTTTATTTTAAAATACGTAACAAAATACTACTGATATACATTAAAGTAAAACTTTTATAAACTTGAAGACATACACATATTTATAAATATTTAGGTTTTGAACCAATAATACAAATTTGATCCAAAGTTTTAATCTAATACTTGAAAAATACAAACTATATATTTTACTATGATAGAATATAATTTAAATGACTAATTATGATTTTGGACATGACTACAGATTTTACTAAATCTGCGAATTTGTTTAATTTTGTTAATTATAAGATGTTTCCTCTTTCTATATGTTATAGATAACAAAGATTGACACACGTAAACCATCTGTGCGCAGATCGGGGCCTCCAAAGGAATTCATTAATGTTTGCCTCGACACGCACAATTTCTACCGATCGCGGCATGGAGCTCCGCCGTTACGACTCAGCAAGCAGGTTACTATCGGTCTTTCTTTTGCAATAAAATTGCAATAAAATCTGAGCCCCTACTGTGCAACTTCCGAGAATTGAGGAAATGCAATTTTTTTTATGTTTGCTTTATTCTTGGAAATATCGAGGAATCTCTACTTACAATTTTAACTGGAAACGATAAATGACAATTTTTATATTTATTTTCAGCTGTGCAAGACGAGTCAAGATTGGGCTAATATATTGGCGGCTAGAGGTAGATTAGAACACAGAGCGAATATTGATTATGGAGAGAATCTCTATTGTATGTGGAGCTCCAATCCAAAGACTATTGTTGGTGGTGAAGAACCGGTTAATGAATGGTGAGATTATTGCATATATTTATTGTCGATACAAATTATATACGGTTGCAGTTATCACATTATGTTGTAATATTGATTTATCACACATTGATACAACGGAATAAAGAAGAATTCTTTTTTTATCAAAAATTTAATTGTATTTAATTTATGTTAAATTGCTTGATGTAAGCATTTTTATAAATAGATTTCAAAATTTTTGAAATCTATTTATAAATATATTTAATGTAACGATCTAGATTTGTTTTAATATAAAATAAAATAATATAAAATATAAAATAAAATCATTGTGTTATTTAAACATAATGTATTTAAATAGAATTTTTATATTTTATAGGTATGCTGAAGAAGCTCAGCATCAATATGGAAAAGAGCCTACAACATTGAAAACTGGTCACTTCACACAAGTGATTTGGAGAGACAGTACTGAATTAGGGGTGGGAATGGCTAGAAATCGAAACGGCGAGGTCTATGTTGTATGTAATTACAATCCTGCTGGGAACTTTCTAGGCAGTTTTACAGAAAATGTTCTTCCATCTGTGGATACTGCTCCTGCAAAACGGATTAATTTTACCGATCTAAAACAACAGTATACGATAAATGAGCAAACGTGGCAGCAAGAAGCATTATTAGTTCATAATGAGTACAGAAGAAAACATCGCGTGCCGGATCTGAGATTGTGTCCAGAATTAACGGCTGCTGCGAAGGTAATTTAATTATAATATTATCATAATTATTATTTCATTATTACATTATTACAATATATTTTAAATACTAATACAACTAATTTAATATTATAAAAATTAAATGCATTATATATGTTTATTTATCTGTGTAGGCCTGGGCGAACACGTTGCTAAACACAAATAAACTGATATCTCAATCCTCGTCTCCGTATGGCGAAAATATTTATTCGATGCAGTGCTCTGATCCTAAACTGATCGTCTCTGCACGTGAAGTCATTTCAAAATGGTATTCCGAGAAAAAAGAGCACAAATTTGGCATTGAGCCGAAAGTTCTCAACACATGTATGTATAAAATATTAAAGTTTTTTTCATATACATTAACATCATAGAGTTTAATAACAGTGAGAAAATTAATATAATGCATATATATTCATATAGAAATATATATGATAAAAATCGTGTAAAACAAATTAAAAATTAATTTTTAAACGAATTAATTGATTTAATTTCATATTTAGTTATAAGATAAAATTTGATATCGTTTATAATAATATTAACTTGTACAATTTTTAAAATAATAATACATAAAACAAAACTACTGAAAGACTATGAAACAATTATAAATAAAATTCGCAATATTTTACTTTTTACTTACAGGTCACTTTACACAAATTGTTTGGAAAAATACTACTGAAATGGGTATTGCAATGGCCAAACGGGATGGTACATGTGTCATAGTGGCATGTTACTATCCGAGAGGTAACATAGTAGGACAGTTTACCGAAAACGTACTAAAACCTTTGAAAAATGCTTGTTAGCCGACTAGCTAGAATTACTTCTGTCGATAATGTATTTAAACACTATTATATTTATATGTATTGTGCAAATGAATGATGTTATGCGTAATATATGTAATGTATATACGACACACTTGTGCGTACACGTAGAATAAACATTCCACGTACACATATTTATAACTTCCTGACTATTAATTATTCTTGATGCTCACCATTTTCAGCAAATAGTAATAAGCAAATAGTAATAGTAATAAAATAAGTTATTTTTTTTAAATAAAAATCAGAAAATTTATCAAGAATTAAAATGATTATCTTCAACTTTATTCTTTCACGAATGGGCATTATTCTGATAAAATTCTTTATAATTTTATAAAAAAATTAAAAATTGCAGAAAAGAAAAAATTAAATATATTTACACATTATAATAATAAATTTTAGTTCGATTTGAGATAAAAATTATTAAATATTTAATTATATATAAATATGTATATATTCAAATAATAATTTATTTATCTTGACAATATAATAATCAAATTTGAAACTTCTTAATACAGATAAATATAGTTATTAATAAGACACTCTTTTTTTGCTTTATAATAATTTATTTATAATAAATTTACATGCACATCGCACGCATTGCGTTACAATGTCGCATATATATATATATATATATATATAG